GACTTTCCCAGTACTCTGCTGTTAACAATGCTGGAATATGAAAAAGCGCCGTCTTGTAAGGCGGACTGAAAATTTGTCTCACGTAAGTCCCTCCCCGACAGTGGGGCAACATAAACACCTCCGTACTCCGGTTTGGTCACAGTGCCGTAGCAGACACACCTCCACATTCACGGACATAATACATGGCACACGTGACCAATTAGCTGAACATAACAGGCAGGGTGTTAGAAATCTCTCTCCAGGGGACCCGAATGTTATTTTCAGGGGTCAGTGTCTAGCCCCCTGGCAGTCTGGTGCACTGGTAACCAAATCTGATTCATCTGACACTGTGTATTTGTGAGTCATGACTGTTTCTTGCATGTACGTACTAAACAAAGGACATTCCTTATCAAGTAAACATTACCCTTTATGTGCATACTTGAGGTCAACAAGCTGAACTGATTTAGAAGCCCTTCTACATGCCCTTCAATGACTCTTGATTTAGAAGCGTTCAATCACAGAGGTGGCCCCAGTATTAAACATTTCACGTATTCATGATCAAGGTTAGACTTGGCAGCCAATGTTTCTCATACAATGCTGCTAGTTGGATCGGGTGGTCAGGCTGAGTGGATTGGCTGATGCAAGTAATCGTATCCTGACTGTGCAGATCGATGCTCATGATGTCAGTCACTGGGTTGTGTTTCAGAGTGCGGCGATAAACAATACAAATCATGGTAGTCAAGTTACATCTGCATTTGCTCGTCGAGAGTATATTTCCTATGAGCATTAGGTTGTAATAAGGGAGATATTCCGTACCTTCAACTCGTCCTCAGTAAGGTGTTTCTGATAATCAAAAACACTGTTAACAAGATAGTTGGGCTTGTACAAATAAGGAAGATCCGACAGTACGGAAACACACCTGGCGACCCGGAATGTTCCCGGGAATCCACTGTGATATATGTCACTAGAAATACACTGCTGAATTATTGGTGTCCTGCTAACACACAATACTACACTATTTTATTCCCGAAAGAACCCGCTCTGACTTTAAACTGTTTCTTTTCTTGTTAAAATGCAAACAAAACTATAGGTAAAGCTTGATGAAAATGAACAATCAGATGGTGGCTTTGTACATTTGTGACCACAGACCATACGTAACATGAAGCTTCCAAGATAGTATGTCCTTGTCAGGAATAGACTTGTTACAATGTGGAGCACATCAGCAAATTCTTCTTGAAATACTTATTTAGTGAAATAAATTCATGGGAGACAATTACTAGAACAATCGTATTACACCAACAATGAACTAACTGTGAGGAGCACAATCGCATGTGGAACCCACAGTTTGGTGTCAGCCCCGGGGAGAACAATGAGGAGCTGGCAGCAACAGGTTCCGGTGCTGAGACTTCAGGTCAGACTTACGGTGCACGGTGAAACTCGATGTAACAATCACAGTACTATACATGGCAAACATTGGCGTGTGGGCTCCTGTGTATGATTGTAAACATAGCGTTGGAAAAGGTCCACTACGACCCTCGTATCTATATCCAGGTGGGTTGTAAATCTTAGCCCTGTCATCGCCATATCTTAATCGCAGATCTTGCTTGAGGTTGTCCAACACAGACAGGCATTGTATCCCTTGTGAACAGATGTATTCAAGGGCACTTGGCCACAATGCTGACGTTTTGCACCGCTGTTATAGAACATCAAATATATTAGCAATATCTTCTGGTAGTATTGTCGTGTGTCCTTCTGTCTATACTGAATCTGTCCCTCTGAAGAACTCCCTTTGACATCAACAGGGTCAAGGGGTCGTTTATAGAAAAACGTGGAACATGAATGATGGAAGGCTCGATGGACAGGGACAACGAATACGAGTGGAGAAGACTGTGATATCGGCAGATTGTTGCTGAGATGTATTTTATGGATTATTTATTGTACTAGGTGTACATGTGACGGACTCTTCGAGTGGTCCTGACTGTATTCGGTACAAGCTCAGGAGGCCAACCCACATACACCCACCATCGCGGGGACGTTGTGTGTACCTGGGGGGTGAACGTACAGTACAGTTTAACACAGGGCTGGCTATATATTCTGCACACGTGCAATCAATACTGCACCTGGCCCAACATCACACTTATAGATATCCCTGATCGTGGACATTTCCATATTTAGTGGATGCCGAGGGATACACGTAATATTCCCGCCACCTGTACTGTGTATCACGTGACCCTGCCGCCAGTAGCACCCGCAATTCGGTGGAACCTCGTACAGCCACAGGAGCCATGTTCCAGCATAAATTGACAACTACCAGGGTTAACGACCAGAGGGTGTGACCACACATCAACCAGATAACTCGTGATATCTTCTGCCACCGACGAGTCTGTAGTGAGTTTTCTCAGACTTCGCAACTTTCAGAATAGAGCTGTAATGTTCTACTGATAACTCGGCAAAAATGTAAACCAAATACATAAACTTACATGGCTACAACGAGTGAGTGAGTATGGTTCTACGTCGTAAGACTCCGACTGTATCAGTGAGTGAGTTTGGTTTTACGCCGCTTTTAGCAATATTCCAGCAATTTTACTGGGATCACCAGAAATCGGCTTCGCACATTGTACCCATGTGGGAAATCGAAAACGGTCCTTTGGCGTGACGAGCGAGCGCTCTAACGTCTAGGCTACCCCACGCCCCCCCTGTATCAGGGTATATACAACAGTGTGGGTATTACCACAGGGGTAGGGACTTGGGAAAATATATATGAATATACATAGATACTCTAATCACTCACATTTGACAAGTCCATCTGTAATCTACCAGAAGGTGTCACTTCTGAGAAAAACTAAATATTTTGGTCAGACCCTTTATTGTATTCAGCGGTGTCGATATAACTTTATAACGACTTCAATACCAGCACATATATAACATACAATCAATATCACACGGACGTCCACAACACCGTGGGGTGGTTCACACAGTCAGGTGTACAACCAGAGGCCATACCAGCACCTTTCTGCAGTCACATGGAGAAATCACCCAATTTACTACTCAGGTAAATATGTGAAGATAAGGAAACGAAGGTAGTGTTCATATTACGAGCTCCAATAAACTAGGTGATCGCCATGATGTCCCAGCCTGCCACTCAGCCCTAGAGAGGCCCGGGGAGACTCATACCTAACACTGACAGGTCAGATTAAGGTGAAAAAACTCTCCCCGAGACAAACTGACGAGCGGGGCTACAATGAAGCCTCTATTAAAGTCATTGACATATTTCGTCACTGCCTCGGGCTCTCGTATCTTTAATCCATCACATTGATATATATACTACTCTATATAAAGTACAGTAGAGTATAAACTGTTTACTGTCTGATCGGCAATGAGGACAGTGTGGGACAGATAGTTCAATATATCCCGTCTTTACATATATTTATGTTAGACAGCCTATACACACACAATAGAGCGGGTCGATAGCTCACTCAGCAGTTTATAGATGGGCTACTTATGTCTGATACTGGTCAATAGTCGGCGTGACTAGTTAACACTGCGCTGTTAAGTCACCCACGCTGAAATGATGTTGGTGAACTTATTGTGAGGGATATTTCCAATAACACAGGACACCCATCTCCCGAACACTGTATTTAGAAGCTGTGTAGTGTGAATATCCAGGGTACGTAAATAGATCACGGTGAGAGTGGGCCTGCTGTTGCACATATTCCAGAACTGCATGGTGGGTATATCCACAGCAAGTTTCAAAATACACGTGTGCATAATATATTTCACATTGACGTTCACTGCATAAGGAAACCATGAGGACTTTTCACAAGGCCTGTCATATTTATCTGAAATTTTCATCGCTAAATTAAGGGTATCACCAACAGATGAGTCTAACTGGTTCTTTAAACAACAAACTATTGCAAAGATTGCCAAGCCTATGTGATGTCAGGATAAAATATTTAATCCTGCGCGGAAAACAGGTAGCATCAATATAATATCACGTATGTTTTCGACAATACTTTTGAGACGAATTTCTACATTTTATCAAGGTAAATGGATACATTAATGTGAGTGTTTACCGGTTTCCATGGACACATCGATGTGTTGAAGTGTCCAAATAAATAAAATAGAGAACTGTTACGGGAGGAGAACTGGATGACACGTTTCATATAAAGCAGTATGGATTATTTCTCCCGAAGATATGTATTCTCAGCATAAGTTAAGTATTTCCCAACCTAGTAAACCTTATATTCAAACAAAACCACTGTTTTTAGAATTGAGTAGTTAACATTGACATAAAGTAGCATTGCTACACGTTCGTCAGAATGCTAATTTGTCGTCTGCTAAATATTGGGAGGTTTTTCTATAAAAATGCGGGACTAGTGAACTACCACCCCAACGATGAAATCATGTATACCTCAGGACCATAGAATCAGTAAAAACATCAATATAATGACAGTAGTTTGCGATTCAGGTTTTACGTTGGTTCCGCCATCATGTTATAGTGTCACCCTTCATTGGTCTCCATGTCGTCTGCTCGTCGCTTCACGCGCCAGTGCTTCCGGCTCGTCTCACCGAGGACGACCGTTGTTTATCGTTTGGGCGAGTAGCTCACCCACGCAATATTTCAGTACAGAAACAGTAATCAGTCAGGGAATTGATGAGAATGAGCGAGGAACTGAACCCAGGATAGAACACCAAGCGTTAGTTCCTTAGAGACAACATGTTTCAAGTTCACATCAAGCTTCCGACACTTTAATCCTGAAATAGGATACGTGTCAGGTAATTTCTGTTAACACGAACACTATCGGAGACACGTGAAGTGATATGGCACATTTCATTAAATATATATAAAACATTAGCCCCTCTCGTCATATTGCCAGATCTTGATACGATAAGACTTCACCTGAATGGCGGGCCGGTGGGCACAACACCGTATGTACCTGTAGTATACATATAAATACACCGGTGGACACAAGACGTTTTATGTTACAGTAGATATAAAGTACAAATAGCCTCACACCTACCTTATCTGTTATAATCACTGGTTGTCACTGCTGAAGAATCCAGATTAATTAAGTTGCAACAAAAACAGACTACACAATATCACAGTCGCTTCTCCACTGGCAAACAGCTACCGTGAATAGGTCACGTGACACTTCCAATGTAGGACGGCGGTATATCGGGGTCTCCACGCTGTCAGTGAAACCACAGGTATATTTGGCAGCCAGCTGATCCCACGACTACTGCAACGGACGTGGCAGTCCAACTGTCCTGGCGGTGTGTGCGAGCAGACGAGATTATCACCCCGCCAAATAAGCCCACCTTCCTTTCGGGTATATACCCTATAGCAAACAGGGAATATTATTATACCAGACGTCTCCCAGCACTTTCCAACTGTCTGTCCGATAAGTTTGTAACATGTAATGATGTAATCATCCTGCTGGGTTTCTGATGCAAGCCCTGGTACACAGAAACTGCTGAGCAATCATTCCCGATCGATCGTCTGCTTGTGTTTTATCGTCTGTCATCGTATGCATATTGGCTGGATCTGCTTACACTCACATGCAGCACACCTACAGCGGAACCAGCGACTGTAATTACACCAGACTCCACTGCGGAATTAGCGGCTACTGGACAACGTGTTTCTCGATAACCTAGCCGATCTGAAGGTCTGATGGAATGTGAGGGTTCAAGGGATCGAGAGTTTGGTTCATCGGGTCAAAGTGACCTCCCTGGTGACCCATGACAGGAATACGTATATTACTGTCTGATGTAATGGCTGTGTAATAAGGCAACGTTTTGGCCTACTCACATGTGTTAGGATGATGGATGTGTTGCCATGATGGTGTTGTGAAGTCACTGTGAACGTGATCATATCAACTGGCAGGATGTCTCCACATTACTGTACTGTAACTCTGGGCGACCTTTTGCCATGCGCATACATTACCGTGCAACCTGATTAATCTGGACAGGTTCTTGTCAGCCAAACGCGTTCAAAACGTCGCAGTAGCAAATTATCGGGGGTTCAAATTGACGGGATGCTAAAATTGATTATAATCCAGCTGTCATATAAATACAGGAACAAGGACAGGCTAGCAGTTCCAACATCGCCATGTGATTCGTGACACATCACAGCTGTCTCTGTACAGTGCATCTAACATTATCTTCACTGGGAACATGAGATGTCTAGCATATGCATGACAGATACGTCTATCAGAGGAACGACACAATTAAACTTACAATCCTGATATATGCATAGACGTGAATGGGAGCAGTGCGTGTTGAGAATTGCCTAACTCGCTATACTGAGATCTGGCCCTGAAAACTGCCTGTGTGTTTGTTGCCGAATAATATACAGCTACATGACGACGGCAGGTAATTCTCGACTATGTACAGACAATCCAGTGATTGAGATTATGAGCAACGATCCACGCCGACAGTGTACCCAGACACCCGATCAACAAACGATCCACGCCGACAGGGTACCCAGACACCCGATCAACAACGATCCACGCCCACAGGGTACCCAGACACCCGATCAACACCGATCCACGCCAATAGGGTACCCAGACACCCGATCAACAACGATCCACGTCGACAGGGACCCAGACACCCGATCAACAACGATCCACGCCCACAGGGTACCCACACACCCGATCAACAACGATCAACGCCGACAGGGTACCCAGACACCCGATCAACAACGATCCACGCCGACAGGGTACCCAGACACCCGATCAACAACGATCCACGCCCACAGGGTACCCAGACACCCGATCAACACCGATCCACGCCAATAGGGTACCCAGACACCCGATCAACAACGATCCACGCCGACAGGGTACCCAGACACCCGATCAACAACGATCCACGCCGACAGGGTACCCAGACACCCGATCAACAACGATCCACGCCAATAGGGTACCCAGACACCTGATCAACAACGTACCCAGACACCCGATCAACAACGATCCACGCCGACAGGGTACCCAGACACCCGATCAACAACGATCCACGCCCACAGGGTACCCAGACACCCGATCAACAACGATCAACGCCGACAGGGTACCCAGACACCCGATCAACAACGATCCACGCCCACAGGGTACCCAGACACCCGATCAACAACGATCCACGCCCACAGGGTACCCAAACACCCGATCAACACCGATCCACGCCAATAGGGTACCCAGACACCCGATCAACAACGATCCACGCCCACAGGGTACCCAGACACCCGATCAACAACGATCCACGCCGACAGGGTACCCAGACACCCGATCAACAACGATCCACGCCAATAGGGTACCCAGACACCCGATCAACAAACGATCCACGCCAATAGGGTACCCAGACACCCGATCAACAACGATCCACGCCAATAGGGTACCCACGTCAATAGGGTCATTGTGAGTTCAGTGTTAACCAATGTTGCCTCTATACACCAGTCGTACAGAGTGAGTGAGTATGGGGCTTCACCACTTTCAGAATAGTTCCATCAATACCACAGCGTCCGACACAAGAGGTTGACTTCACCCACTGTGAACTCCGGCAACTCCGCCATCTCACTGACATACGGACATGTAATAGCCGTTTTGTTTTTCTTTGACGGCATTGTCCTAGTGCTTTAAATACTCAGGTCCTGAAAACGACCTTTGAAACGTTGTTTTTCACAAGTTGAAAAGGCTTGATAAAAGTAGTTACATTGTTTATAATATAGAATAAATCAATCTACTTACAGTAAAGTTATAGTATGGAGCGACTGTGCTGTACTACAGCTTATAACAGGTGTGTCCTGAGGCTATCGTCACAGTGAAGGTGTCACCTGCGATTGCTGGAAGACTGATACTGCGGACTGACTCACTTCTACTCACTTATTGAGACTTATTGAGACCGATTTCTACTCACTTACCGAGACTTATTGAGACCGATTTCTACTCACTTATTGAGACTTATTGAGACCGATTTCTACTCACTTATTGAGACCGATTTCTACTCACTTACTGAGACTTATTGAGACCGATTTCTACTCACTTATTGAGACTTATTGAGACCGATTTCTACTCACTTTACTGAGACCGATTTCTACTTGAGACCGATTTCTACTCACTTACTGAGACTTATTGAGACCGATTTCTACTCACTTACTGAGACTTATTGATTTCTAGACCGATTTCTACTTTCACTTATTGAGACTTATTGAGACCGATTTCTTATTGAGACCGACTGAGACCGATTTCTACTCACTTATTGAGACTTATTGAGACCGATTTCTACTCACTTATTGAGACTTATTGAGACCGATTTCTACTCACTTATTGAGACTTATTGAGACCGATTTCTACTCACTTACTGAGACTTTATTGAGACCGACTCACTTACTTGAGACTTGAGACCGATTTCTACTCACTTATTGAGACTTATTGAGACCGATTTCTACTCACTTATTGAGACTTATTGAGACCGATTTCTACTCACTTATTGAGACTTATTGAGACCGATTTCTACTCACTTATTGAGACTTATTGAGACCGATTTCTACTCACTTATTGAGACTTATTGAGACCTCACTTACCGAGACTTATTGAGACTGATTTCTACTCACTTATTGAGACTTATTGAGACCGATTTCTACTTGAGACTTATTTCTACCGATTTCTACCTCTTTATTGAGACTTATTTGAGACCGATTTCTACTCACTTATTGAGACTTATTGAGACCGATTTCTACTCACTTACTGAGACTTACTGAGACCGATTTCTACTCACTTATTGAGACTTATTGAGACCGATTTCTACTCACTTACTGAGACTTATTGAGACCGATTTCTACTCACTTACTGAGACTTATTGAGACCGATTTCTACTCACTTATTGAGACCGATTTCTACTCACTTATTGAGACCGATTTCTACTCACTTATTGAGACCGATTTCTACTCACTTACTTACTCACTTATTGAGACTTTCTATTGAGACCGATTTCTACTCACTCACTTACTTGAGACTTTCTATTGAGACCGATTTCTACTCACTTACCGAGACTTATTGAGACCGATTTCTACTCACTTATTGAGACTTTCTACTTGAGACTTATTGAGACCGATTTCTACTCACTTATTGAGACTTATTTCTACTCACTTATTGAGACCGATTTCTACTCACTTATTGAGACCGATTTCTACTCACTTATTGAGACTTATTGAGACCGATTTCTACTCACTTACTGAGACTTATTGAGACCGATTTCTACTCACTTACTGAGACTATTGAGACTTATTGAGACCGATTTCTACTCACTTACTGAGACTTATTGAGACCGATTTCTACTCACTTTGAGACTATTGAGACTTTCCACTACTTGAGACCGATTTCTACTCACTTACTGAGACTTCTATTTGAGACCGATTTCTACTCACTTATTGAGACTTATTGAGACCGATTTCTACTCACTTACTGAGACTTATTGAGACCGATTTCTACTCACTTACTGAGACTTATTGAGACCGATTTCTACTCACTTATTGAGACTTATTGAGACCGATTTCTACTCACTTATTGAGACTTATTGAGACCGATTTCTACTCACTTACTGAGACTTATTGAGACCGATTTCTACTCACTTATTGAGACTTATTGAGACCGATTTCTACTCACTTATTGAGACTGATTTCCACTGAGACCGATTTCTACCGATTTCTACTCACTTTATTGAGACTGATTTCTTATTGAGACCGATTTCTACTCACTTATTGAGACCGATTTCTACTCACTTATTGAGACTTTCTACTCTTACTTACTGACCGACTACTTTCTACTCATTTATTTTCTACTCACTTATTGAGAGACCGATTTCTATTGAGACACTTACTGAGACTTATTGAGACCGATTTCTACTCTTATTGAGACACTTACTGAGACTTGTTGAGACTGATTTCTACTCACTTATTGAGACTTATTGAGACCGATTTCTACTCACTTACTGAGACTTATTGAGACCGATTTCTACTCACTTACTGAGACTTATTGAGACTGATTTCTACTCACTTACTGAGACTTATTGAGACCGATTTCTACTCACTTACTGAGACTTATTGAGACCGATTTCTACTCACTTATTGAGACTTATTGAGACCGATTTCTACTCACTTATTGAGACTTATTGAGACCGATTTCTACTCACTTACTGAGACTTATTGAGACCGATTTCTACTCACTTACTGAGACTTATTGAGACCGATTTCTACTCACTTATTGAGACTTATTGAGACCGATTTCTACTCACTTACTGAGACTTCATTGAGACTTATTGATTTCTACTCACTTACTGAGACTTTTCTACTCACTTATTGAGACCGATTTCTACTCACTTACTGAGACTTATTGAGACCGATTTCTACTCACTTACTGAGACTTATTGAGACCGATTTCTACTCACTTACTGAGACTTACTGAGACCGATTTCTACTCACTTACTGAGACTTATTGAGACCGATTTCTACTCACTTACTGAGACTTACTGAGACCGATTTCTACTCACTTATTTAGACTTATTGAGACCATAACATCAACATATGTCCTGTATTTCTAAGTTACATGGCAGTACGGACTATTGGTCCCGTGAGTG